CCTTTCCAAATTCTCTTTACCTCCTTATTTCAAGTTTCTAGGCCCTATCTAAAAACAGATGTCTCGTTATATGACCTTTGGATTCATGATCCTCCTTACTCCTCTCCTCCCTACATCCTCATTCCATCCTCACATAACAGTATGTGTGCTATCTTCCCTCATAAGCTTATAAAGAATCAAAACTTTGCTCTACCAAGTAGAGTAGGATAAAAGAAATTCTTTCAGGTAAAAGAAATTTTCACTTCCTCAACATTAATTCATCTCCTTCTTCAAGTACACCAACTTTAAGCAGAAAAAAAGTGATGAAATGATGAGATAAAGTTGTATCTTCAGCCATCAGTCCTATCTGATGTTGGCCTAGGCATCTCTGTGAGCCTAGCAAAGCTAAGTAGAGAGTATAATTAAGAGGATATAATATACTTTTGGAAGTATATTTTACAAAAGGAGCAGAGGTTAGGGAGTAGTTTTAGCTTGGGCTGCTATGTTATACAACATGATATGTTTTGTCATGAAGATAAATTCATTTAATAAACACTCTGGGCACCCAGTAGGTGCTAGATAAGTAAAGAAGCAAAAATTAAGACACCATCTCTGCCATGCAGCAAATGCAAAATGGGGGAAAACTGAAAGTTGTGCTACTAAAGAAAGCAAATATATAGAATATGCATATTACCTAATAATATATATAATATATATGAAGAATATATAGTATAATATTTATGAAGACAGGACTGTAGTGGAGGGAGTGTGACAAGCTCTGAGGAAGGGAAACACAAACAAAGAAGATTTTCTCCAACTGAGTCCTGCTAGCTACACAGACATTCATCATTTAAAGAAAGGAGAAAGGAATTCCAGGCAAAGAGATCAGGTGTCCAAAGGCTTGAGAATAAAAGGATTATATATGTGGTTGGGATGGAAAAATTAAAGTATATTTAGGATCCAGAAATGAGGCTGGAGTCTACTAGAGGCCAGACTCTAACCAACTTTACTTGAAGGGCTCAGAAGTAGGTAATGAAACAGGGCTTCATCCAGAAGGTGCTGAAACAGCAACCACACATTATTAAATGGAGGCATGACGGTAGTAGATAATTAGGTATCACACAACTTCTAAAGTTTTCCTAATCTTTCACCCACAAGGAAACATCCTCACTAACATGGACAAAGACTTTTCAATCCTAGCTTACCCATCCCTTTGTCCATCCTTTAGAGCTGGACAAAAAATAGGAACAAAAACTGGTTTCATCCTATCTCATATCCATCTTATTGAAGATCCTTTCCCTATCTATGATGCCAGAGAATGAGAAAATGGTGAAAAGGCACAAGGAAATTAATAAGAAATAACATCTACTAAGTATTAGATGACAGGGAATGGCAATTTAACTTTAAAACCACCTTTTGAGGTAGGAAAAAAAATTCACATTTTAAAGAGGATGCAATACAGGTGAACCAAGTTGTCAAGAATCACAGAGAAATAGAACACTGATGAGAAACTGAGACATAAAACCAGATCTAATGTTAATGATACGCATATATACAGGATCACATAGTTTCCCATAGGCCACTTTAATCTTACAATAATTTTATATGATGTACTATGTAATATGACTGTAAATTAATAAATTAAAATTCTTACCATACATATTACAAGTGGGCTGGAAGAGATGAGATGCAAGACAAAGACAAAGCAGACATCCCAGTAGGGTTTACAAATCCTTAAGAGTGAATACCACAATATAGACCCCAAACTGATAGGTATGTGTCAACTTGTTTTCTGTAACCCTTTCACTATCCTTAGTACTGCATTAATGAATGTTTTATTAGTTTCAATGCTTTTTATATCTTCATATTAAAGTGAAGCATAAGCTATGTACATAAAAATGGGTACAGGTTTCTTTTTATATTTCCAAGAATATGTAATTCAAAAAAGAAAGCATTATGAGATACAGCAATGTCAGAGATACAGACTACTATACTAGCAAGACTTTTTCATGCAACACTAATTTACAGGTTTTGTAACTATTTGTCCTAAACACAATGTGATGGTCTTTTTATCATAAAAATGCTTAGAGGAGTTCAAATTGGATACATACTAAGAAAATGTCTAGATTATAATACAAACACATCAAGCTTCTATTATGCACTTTTCTGCTTGCTTTAAAATCGAATTCTTGCTAACAATGATAGGAAAAATCACACAATTAGATTTTTATATTTGATATTGAACAAATAAAAGAACAGCTGCTTTTTAAAAGATATATACTAGGCAGCAATATAGTCAAGAGTAACATTTACCATTCAAGGGAAGAAGTGGTAATGGTGACTCACTTGAATCTCACCAATATCACTGTCTCTAATCTCAGAAGTAAATTAAACATTGCTACCAGAATCCACAGCAAATTCCAAACTGAAGCTAATACAGAGCTTAGGGACAGATGTCTGCATATCATTTTATCCATGGCAAAAGTAACAAGTTACCCTTTCTCTATATACATAATTCCAGGGAGGTTTTACTTCAAAAACTTCAAGATTTAATAATCATTAAAATAAATGTATTTTTTCACTCTAAGAATTTTGAAGAAAAAATTCTATCGTTTTCTTCAAAATTTTTGAATCTATTTGAAAAGATGAATAGGCTAACTCTGCCTTGCCTTACCTATGCATCCACCTAACATTAGCAAAGCAAATGAAGAAAACTATACACTTAATCATATATATTTCTCCTTTAACCTTCAAAAAATTGATAGTGTAGGGATAGAGACGAATAGGAAGGGAAAGATGAGGGATGCCCCCACCTCCGAAGGAGTTTTAGATAGGTGGCAAAACAGGCTGACAGCCTGCAGTCACACTTCCTCTTTATGGTGTACCCTGCAAAGCTTGGTTTGCTAAGATCAAAACGAGAAAAAGGAAATTTAACCCTAAAGGTGTGAAAGACCCCAGGATCCTTCCCTAGTAAGGAGCCATATCAACCAATTAGCCAATCAAGTAGGGGCCCCCTCAGCCCAGAGACAGGGTGGGCTCTCGGACACTATAAAATGAACCCCTTGAGCCCCCCTTCAATGGTGGCTCCGTTTTGGGCCCCCCTGCCTGTCTTGCTGAGAGAAGACAGCTGTACTCTTGCATGCTTGCTGAATAAAAGTACAACTTTGCTTTTATGCTTTCGATCTCTATCTGATTCTTCCACAACCCTCCATGTCAACGGGAAAGTCTGGTCCCAGGACTGAGGGGACTCTCCACCCTTCTCCGCCCCTGAGCTGCTACTATTACAGGTCAAAGTTTCAATAGTATCTCCAAACCTCCAAACAGAATTATTTTGCTGGACAGCTGAAAACCAGGCAGAAGACAGCTATTTCAATATTAAATACCATAAATTTTCAAGTGAACTGCTGAAAATAATACCTTGTAAGCTATTAAAACTTAGATACATGTAAACCTTAATTTAACAATATTTTTAGTGTTCATATGATAATACATGAGACTAAAATCTCGGCCATGATTGCCTGAAAATATCTCTAAGAACATCTATCAAGAAGGACTTTTCAGACACCAGTAATAGAATAACTATCCTAATCAACACTACCTAAATAAAATAAGAATCTGAGTGATTCTAACATAGCTGTTGTGGACATTAATAGCTATAAAATTAAATGTGTTACAATGTCATTAATAGTGCTTTTGATAATGCTGAAATGTTTTACACTCCTCCAGCTTTCAGTTCCATAGGAACATACAAGGCCCTATAGATTCTTAAAAGTTTTCAACAAGACTCCTCTTTCTATATGTTCCCCATCTTCTCTCTTAATTTTTGTCTGGGTAATTCTGGTATATATATAAAGATTAGTCATAGACATAGACATAGACAAGAGCACATACTCTCACCTGGTTCCATTCTTCATGTATAAGAATGCCTAATCTTCCAAAATAAAGATTCTTAACAATAAATTAAAACTGAGCATTCAAAAACATCCTTCACATATGACTTCATCAGTTATAACTATTCCAGTTATCCTGCATTATAAACATATCTCAACTTTTTTTTTTTTTTTTTTTTTTTTGCGATATCAGGGATTGAACTCAGGACCTTGGGCTTGCAAGGCAGACACAGTGCCACTGAGCTACATCCCTGGCTATTTCAACTTTCTCTTTCATGGCTCAAAATATAAAATGATCTAGCATTTCCATAAAAACTTCAAAAATTAGAAGAAAGTGAGTAATTCCTTTGCTCAATTAAACACCCATGATTCTTCTAGTATTTCCTTTGGAGGGTGTTGTAAAAGGATCTCTGTGGTGATGGGATATTTCTGTTTTCTGATTATGATGGTGATTACATGAATCTACAAAAGATTAAAATAACAGAACTATACACTTATACCAACTTCCTGGTTTTGATATTGTACTATAGTTGTGTAATATACAATCAGCAGGGGGAACTGGGTAAAGGGTGCACAGTATTTCTTCATACTATCTCAGAAAATTCCGGTAAATTTTCAAACTAAAAAGTACAGAGAAAGAATGGAACACTTCACAGAAATCCTACCTTTTGCCAGAGCAAAACAGAGTAAAGAAGGAAATGACTCCTATAAATGTCACACAGGAGTATGGATATATACCAGGAAAGCAAAGTAAACAGACAGATAACAGTAGTAATCTGAATATTTGGTGGTATATAATAAGCTTAATAAAGCTAGAAACAATGAATATAACAACCAAACTACCCATATTTATGCTAACCATATCCTTTCCTGAGCTCTATCTATGATGACCTACTGCAAGTTAAAAACTATTTTGAATTTTATTTTCAAACCCATGTATTTTGCATTGGATATCATATTCATATTCACTTATGTTTTTAAACATATAATTTACTAAATAAATTATTTAACTACTTTTTCAAAAAAAAAAGTTTTAGTAACACTCCAAGACACAGACATATTTATATCACAGTGGCCTGGAGCATTCAGAAAAGCATCATCTTATTTTCTAGCTCCTAGGTGGTCACTTACAAATAATTCCGACTGCTCCATTCTGAGGAAGCCTCTAATCCTCTGAAGACTAGGCTCTTTGCTGGAGACCCCTGCAGTTAGGTTCCAGCACCTAACTGCCCAGTACACGACACAGGCCTGAGAAAAAATACACTAAGAGTCAGAACTGAGAGAAAAAGCAGGGTGATAGGAGGACAAATGCTGGTGCAACCGACAAAGGCCCTGGCCAGTCCCAGGTACTTTTTATTGGCAAGCAACTGGGGTAAAGGCAAGCTAAGTTCAGTTTCTATGGAAATTAATGTAAACAAGGCTCATAAAGGACAAGACAAAGCATGCTCAAATCAGGAACAGAACAGACAAAATATATGGTTGTAATTAGAACACTGTCCTTCTAATCAGAAGGTTTTAGTTGTGGGAATGGAATTTGGGTGCGAGTTACTCTGACCTTGGCACATAGGCTCTGGCCAGACTCACTTCTCAAAACAAGCCAATTGTGAGGTTAACTCTTTACAGCCTTCTTTGGGCATAATCAATATTATGGTCCTCTGCACTCTTTCTGGGGGAATTCTTAGAAAATGGACGAAGTCTAGCATTCTACAATTCAAGCTATGAGTAACTAAAAAAGGTTTCTCCTAGTACCATGTAACGCCTGTAAATAAAGATTTCATGGGAAACTACACATTCTCTCATCTCAAAAAGAGCCAACAGGCTGGGCATGGTGGTATACACCTGTAATCCTAGCACTCGTGAGGTTAGCAGGATTGCCATGAGTTGGAGGCCAGGCTGGGCTACATAGTGAGTTCAGGAGACCTTGTCTCAAAAAAAGGGGGAAAAAAAGGCCAACTAAATTTTGAGGCATTTTCATAAACATATACATACCAGAGTAGATTTCCTGAATAATTACTCATTTTGCTTGAAAATACCCAGTTCTTAGTTATTTGAGATTCTATCAAAATTAAATTTAGGTGAAGGATGTAAGACCACAAGGTTTCTTAAGTTTGTCTTAATCTTCATCTTTTCAATCACATCTCTTCTTTACTTGAGGAGGTTGGATAAAAGAGGCTTTTATCATCTAAATGTGATTAAAAATTTCAAGTTGATTTCTATGACCAGCATTTCATAAAGTGTTTTAGTGTCCCAGAGATGTCTACTTTTTCCTGAGTGCTCTAAGAGTTCAAATTCTTAGCAGAAACTGTTTTCGGATTTATTTCAATGTTTTAAAAAACCTGAAACCACTCTCCCAGAGCTGATTAGAATACAAGTTCTTTGTAGAACCAGATGGCCCAAGAAATTGTCAAATCACTAAGTAGTATCTTCAACTGAAAGGAAAACACACACAACACAAACACACACACACACATACACACACACTCATATACTCTACAGAGACAGCATAATTTGTTTAAACGTGCTTTTTCTTTGTTTTTCTCCAATTTCTTTCTTTTTTTGGTACCGAGGATCGAACTCGGGTCCTTGCACTTGCGCAGCAGGCGGTGAAACCACTGAGCTAAATCCCTGGCTCCAAATCTCTTTGTTTGTTTGTTTGTTTTTGGTACTGAGGATCAAACTCGGGTCCTTGCCTTTGCGTAGCAGGTGGCGAAACCACTGAGCTAAATCCTGTTTTTGTCCAATTTCTAAGCACGAAAAGATAAAGCAGCCCAAAATACATTTAGGAATACATTGAGGTTATTTTATCACCAGTGGTAATTGTACATGATGCACAGGACAAAGATAAGACACCATATACAAAGTTACAAATTCATCAATAGGTACATCCAGGCCCAAAAGTTTTAAAACTGAAGACATTCATGAATAATTTTATATGCAAAGATTATAACAAACCAGTTGTAGCACACAAAACATGAAATTATAACTAATGAAAACTTTTTAAAAATAATCTTAATGATCTGTTTCTAAGGATTTTAATGACTACACATCTAAAACTTAAAATATCTGTAATATATTTCCGTCAAATCATACTTTGGTAGCTAATACTGACAGCATAAATTCCCATTATGATTAAAATCTAATTTTTTAAAAAATTATACCATATTTATAAGCAAGCAGTTAGAAGGAAAAATCATGCTGAGCTCAAAATACTAGGTTTCTATGCAAGATGAATCACTTTTCTTATCTGAAATGCTCAGATCAAAATGTCAAAACAATTAAATTATAATTTTGTCTGACATCAATACCCCATGCAACAGTGGAAAACAGATAACCCAGATTTCAGGCATAATGCTTGCTTTTAACTGGCAGACAAACTGAGTAATGAATCAAATTTTGCTAAAGAAGACAAGTGACATCCTGCCAGATCACAAGGGTCAAGGAATTTGAGTAGACTGACTTCCCATACAACTGTAGCCTTTGGCTCAGAAGGAAAAAATTATCCATACACAAAATATAGTTATAGATTCTAATAAATCACACTGATTTTATAAATATATCAAAGGTATATGCTTATAATTATTTGTATAAATGTCTTTATATGTTTATGTGTAAAGAGAGAAAAGATTAAATTTTTATTTTGAAAGTCTACTTCTCTCACGTAACTATTCTATTTTTTAAACTACCATGTAATCACACAATTACAATATTTTTGAGCTGTTAGATCTTGAGCTTCTTCCACTCTTTTCAGTTAAACAACTGAAAGCCAGGAAAAACATAAATACAAAAACTAGATGGAGGTAGAATTGGGACTACAATGCTAGCGTCCTAACTACTAATCTCTTATAAGTCATATCTTGTATTAAAGATATGAAGAACTGAAAGTTGACAAATATTGTTAGTAGAAACAAAATGGGCTTCTATTTTTATTATCTCATATTTAAATATTTTTAAATAAAACATCTTGCTTTCAAACATCCACTGACTTCATGAGAAAATTATGATTTACTAGACTCTTCTGTAAAGGCATATTTAGATTTCAACTATTCAACTATAATGACATTTAGGATTAGTCAGCATCTTCGAATCACAATACAGGATGGACCTTATCTGAATGCAAATCACTGGCATATAAATTACTGCTCATTCTCTGAATTACTGTTCATTTTCTGATTTGCTAAAATTTTTTCATAAATATTTTTCTATATACCCAACGGTAATGTAGCATTATGATCAAGGCTATGGATAGTAAAACAAGAATGCCTAGCTCCATTACTGAGTATGTAACTTTGGGGAAATTGTTCACCCATTATATCTTAGTTTCATTTTTTTAAAAAATGTCAAAAACTAATAGGGCTTTGGTGAGTATTAAATGAATTATTACATATGAAGCAAATGAAGAATACTAAGTCTTGGTAAATGCTAAAAAAAAATTAGCTACTTTAAGTTTTTAGTCAGCTAAAACACTAGCTTATACAATGGAGTTAATGAAATCTCACACATCACATGGAGAAAGGATTGGTAAAATATTGTAATGGGCAACAAAGTAAATATTTTAGGCTTCCAAGTTCACAAAGTCTCTGTTGGAATTATCCAACTCTATTCTGCGGCAAATGCAAAGACAAACAATAAACTAGTGAATATGAATTGTTTCTAATAAAACTTTATAAGACAGGTGACACAGTTTGTTTGGTCTGTGGGCCATAGCAGTTGACACAACTACCTCAATCTTCAAAGAACAAAAGTGAATAATAAATAAACAAAGTTAACCAGCAAGCCACTGATAGAACTAGAACCAAGAAATCTACAACTCAGCTTAACATTCTGTCCATTTCTCCATATAGGAGAAGTTTCATTAAGTCTTCCTATCCTGACAGGAACAACAAACAACACAAACAATCTGTCTGTTCCTTATCTACCCTTCTACAACACACAAGATCAGCAGACAACTGATGGATTGTGAAGGGCAATGAGTACAACAGGGTTCATTCTACTATTCTCTGTATTTTTGAGTGTCTGACAATTTCCATAAATAAAAGTTTTTTTAACCCATCAGCTTTAAAATACTCAGTATTTTTATATAATTTTCAAAATCCAATCTAAAATAGAATCCAAGCTAATATCTCTTCCCTGATATAACATATGTCAATAATTAGACTTACTACAAGCAACAATTCCTTTCTCCATTTCATCACACTTGGTAGTTTAAAAACTGAGGGTCTCTTCCTTAACAATAGTAATATTCTTAGAAAATTGCTATACAGTACTTATTCACTGCACAGGAAGTAGACTCAACATTCTTATCCTTCTCATCCCAGATTTTCCCAGATTTCACCATACCATTCAGCTTGCCTTATTCCTTTCTCTTCTCCTAGTCAACTTTTATCTTCTTGTAAGTTCAACTTTCTTTCCAAATCACTTCCTGAGCAGAACACAAGGTAAAAATTCCCTCTTCATTCCTTGGCAAAATAGAGTTCTTTGTTTCAAGCAGTTCTAAGAATCTCAAAGCATTCTTCATCAAATACTTCTAACCAAATAGGAAAAAAAAAAAAAAAAAAGAAGACAATTGCAAGAAATTTCTCATGTAGTACAACCATCTGTGTCTGTCACATGAGAAAAATGATCCAAACATACCATGTACATCACCCACTTGCATGTGTCCACATCCTTTTCTTTTTCTCTTATTACTCTGGGTAAATAGCTCATAATCCTAGCAATAGATACTTTCTCCTATTGTAGACATGTATCCACTCTGATTTACTTAAAAACACTGCTCTCTTCTCTCCTGCAGCATCGATTTCTCCGTACCTATTGGCTTTCTCATCAGCATGCAATATGCCTGTGGTGGTGAATCTACGGCACGCATGCTGCAGTGGGCTGTATGCATCATTGACAGCTCCAAAAAGTTCACCCCCACTGCAATATGCCACTGTTTTGCATATCTTTAACCTTTTCTTTATACCATATTATTATAGACAGGCACATTAGGTAGAAGCTAGCAGGCAGCTAGAGAGGCACTGGGCCCAATGTAGAGTCATGATGACCAGGTCCTGGTCAGGTAACCAGGAGGCTGAGGTCAAGAATTAGTAAGAACCAAGTGAACAATTAAGTATAAGGATGTAACAACCAAAGTAACAAGCAATGTGACAAATGACCACTATGACAAAGGCAGAACTATCTGGGGAAGTAGGCATGACCTGTTAATTACAAAATCCCAGGACACATACACAGAGCTGTTCCCAAAATCCTGCATGTGGACTTCTCATGAGAATTTGAGCAAGTTTCCGATATAATGACCTAGATCTGATGTCAGCCTGAGGAGTGGGTGATACAAAAAGCACGATCCACATTGAGTTTTTGCCACTGCATTCTCTGTTGCATGGTGGCCCACCCTTACACTGTAGGATATACTTCTTTTTCTACTTTTACTTGGCCCAAACTCACTATGCAGAGGCTGTTTCTTTTCCTATCTTAATAAAGCTTTGCTACCATTTGTGCTTATCTTAACCAATTCTTTGCTCAGGATAGAAAGAACCTAAAAACCACCTCCAAAAGGAGATTACAGCACCCCAAAATCCCATAACACTACTACTTATCTGGAAAACATTTTTTCCTTCTCACTTTGTTCTTTTAATAAACCACTTGGATAAGTTGGTAGCCAAGAGGAACCTGCAGACATAAACTCGTTATGTGCCTTGACTCTTAGGCCCATTTCTAGTTTAAGCTTAATTTAGTCCCACAGGTTGACCTTATTTGACTTATCATGGTCTGAGCCCTAGGTATTTTTTGGTATCAAAACTCCTACACAGAAAGTCCCCTTGGCAATTGACTTTCAGTTCACTTCTCAACTATTCAGAGCTATTTCTCTCCTCTCAATAATCATTCCTCCTATCTCCTTTGTTCTGAAATTCAATCTTCAACTTTGTGAGACACTGATCCAGATTACACCACTATAATATGGTTCTACAACTAGTACTACATTTCTCTCCTTCCTTTTCTAAATAAAAATCATCATCAAGCTATGCATACTATTATCCCTTCTACTTGGTCACATTCCTAACAAAATTCCACTGCTATCATTCCACTAAAACTGCTATCACCAAGTTCATAACTTTCTTTGCTAAATCCATTCTCAATCTTCATCTTTAAAAAAGATGATCAGTCATCTATTTCTAAAATTACTTCCTTGACTTCTAAGGTTCTACTCTCTGTTTTTCCTTACTTTACATGCAACCTTTTTTTCAGACTCCTTTGCTGGTTCCTTCTTATAATGCTGGGGTGCCTAAAACTCATCCTTAGACCTCTTTAATTTTCTAAATCCAAACACTTCTGATGAATTCATCCAATCTACTTACTTTAAAAACTAGCAATATGATGTATAAATGCATATTGTCAGTCTGACCTTCCAACTAACTGCCTGCTTGACATCTCCACTTCAGTATCTAAATGCAACTAACACTTAATATATTCAAATTAAAATTCTTAATCCGACCATCACATCTTCCTTCTGCCACCTTTTCCAACTCAGTTAATGGAAACTCTATCTTCAGTTGCCTTTGTTTTCCTTTAGTCTGCTCTCATCACAGCGGCCAGATAATGGCGTTAAACATGATGGATGGTACCATTCCTACAGTCAAAACATTGTAATGCCTATCACTACAATAATTTAATAGACTATATTGTACTATCTAGCCCCTATGATGTTTAAGATCATATATCCTACTGCTCCCTCCTCCATTCCAGTCCAGACAGACTTCTTTGGTAATCCTTTAATGTACCAATATAACAGCCTCTCCACATTTGCTATTCTGTGTCTAGAAAGCTCTTGCCCTGTGTATCACCTGGCTCATTTCTTCACCTGCTTTGAGTCTATAGAAATGCTGCTTTGAGGACTTCCCTGACAATCATATTTTATATTGCTAAACACAATTTTTTTCCTTTATGTTTTCTCATAGTGTTTATAACTGTATCACTATACTGTACATTTTTCCTGGTTTTTTTTCTAAGTTCTATCTCCCTTCACTTTAATGTATATTCCAGGAAGGCAGAGATTTGTTCCCTGCTTCAGTCCACTGCCAAGAACAATGCTTGACACATAGTAAGCACTGGCTATTTACTGAGTCATTGAGCTCTAAGTATTGCCTGTGTCGATTTGTTAACGTGTTATGTAAGCAACTAACAAATGATATCCTTTCACTCTTGGTTCTATAGCAAGTCTATAGTATTCTCCATGTGCTATCAGCTTTATGAAGACAAGTCAGTTATGATTCTATTTCCCAGAAATTTTGAGGTCAGCAATTAGTGCTGATTGAAAAGAGAAAAATTTTTGAATAGTTTCAAGATTAAAGTATTGCTAAAAGAACTCCCGTTCCATTAAAATTCTTAGGATGTGGTGGGAGAAGAAATGTGGAAAACCCTACTGAATTACTAATTTTAAACTTAATCCTTTCTTAAATCCTTTCCTCCTCTATCCTCCCCAGTATCCCAATGGTCAATGTGGTCCCTTCTGGATATGGAGAATGCAAAGAACAAGAATGAAATCTCTTTAATCTGTCACCAATTAACATAGTATCTAGCTCATAACTGACAAAGAACTGTTGCTGAACTGTGTTCAATGGAGTAAATACTTCGGGAATCTATTACTTAACTGAAACAGAAAACATCGTTACCTATGTTTCTGAGGCAGTTTTAAACAATTCTTCTCTGTTCTGCAGGGCTACCTTTAATCCATTAACTTAGTCCACAGTTGACTACATTCCTCAGGCTGCAAACCGTAAGCAAGCAAAGAGACTTAAGGATGTCGGAACCATAAAAGATACGTTAGGTGTATTTGCTATTCTAACAGTGAGGGACAAAAAAACAAGATGCTAAAAGATGAAATATCCCATAAAAAGGAGGGACAAAAAAACAAGATGCTAAAAGATGAAATATCCCATAAAAAGGTGAGGGGAAAAAATAAAAGTAAAAACCGTGGTAGAAAGAGAGGAAACCATTAGTGGTACAAAGAAACTCCACGGGGCAAATACGGCAGTAAGCCCGACACTGGGTAAAAACCAGCGTAGTTCTAATCACAGACTGCTCTTTCAAGAGCCTCTCATAAACTTTGCGCTAGAGCCAGGCAGCGCTTCCTCCGGAGCTGCGTTCCAAAGCGGGGGCGTCACGCCCGGCCAGCTGTCCCCAAGCCCAGGTCTGCAGCGCCGCTCCGGTTTACCTGCGGGCCGCCTGGGGCCCGCACGGGCAGCCCGGCGGGGCGGAGTGCACGTGTGTGTCAAAGTGTCAGAAGCGGGCACTCCGGCAGCTACTGGGCTCCGCTCCGAAGACGACCAGCGTCGGAGGTGGCCGGGGGCCTCCCGTGGGCCCAGGGGCTGCGAAGCGAGGTACCCCGCGCGCTACCCGCGGGGTCGCTCGCGCTCTGCCGTCGCCAGGCACCCTTGGTCCCAGCACTTCACGCCCGAAGGGCGCCAGGGACCTGCGCAGGGCTGAGGCCGACACCCCTGCAGCGCTGGCCGGGTGGGAAGGAAGGGAGGGAGGAGAGCCCCGAGGGATCGGATGCGGCCGCCCCGCCTCGGAGTGCCCTGCGGGCTTTGACAAAACTTTGAAACGAGAAGGACTTGGATTACCTGAGCGGCGCGGGCGCGTCTGCGGTACGGCGGCCGAGCGGGCCGCGCCGGGTTTTCAGCAGCCGTAAAGCGGGGAAGCGGGCGCGAGCCCCGGGGCGAGCTCTCTCTCCCAGTGCAGCCCGGGCGCCTCCGCCTGAGCGTCAGGCGCCTGGAGGGGAGAGTTACGCCGAGCTGGGCTGAGTCATAATAAAAGACACGTTTGCTGAGCCAAGTGGGAAGAGGGGCCTTGAGGAGTCGTGTTAAGTGCCAAGAGGATCAAAATCAGGGGAGGGAATTTATTTTAAAGAGTGGTCAAAACTGGAATCCTGTCCCATGCAAAAATACGCATTTGATTTATAATTTGCATCCATTTTGCAAATATTCTTTCTATCTGATAAAACTTAGAAAAGTTGTTTTTTTTTAATGTGTTGCTTCAGGGGCCAAATTACTGAGGCTAGCCTCGTCAGGCTAGTTATTTGAATTCTGTGCCTTTCTTTCCCGAACATTTATTATCTTTTAAATGGGGAGGGAGATAGTGAAGATAAGCCTCAATGAACAGTTTTAAAAGAAAGAAGGCAAAAAATGTGAAGCAAGGATTTTTTTCTTTTCAAAGAAGGTAAATTAGATAAATGTTACAATGGGAAAGCAAAAAATAGGACCTTCAAGTAACAAATTAGGCCAAGTTAACGAAAGGAAGGGAACTAAGGAAGTAAAGGGAAGAAGAAGAGAAGAAAATGACACTGGGAAGGGGCAAGAGGAAAGGAGAGAGGGGGGAAAGACAGGAAGGTGGAAGGGGAGAAAGGCAACTATAACTAGGTTCAGTCCCAGTAGCCATAGAGCAGAGCCCTCTATTTAGAAATTAATGATAAACTCCATCTACTGAGGGAGATTTTTTTTCCTGCACCGGGGATCCAACTCCGGACCTTGGGCCTGCTAAGCAAGCCCAGTGCCACTGAGCCACATTACAGACCCGGAGATATTTTACATATGTAAACAGATAACTGTCTAAAACTGAGCCCCAAATGAGCCTTTGCTCTAATGAATGAGATTTGGCAGTTCTGCAAAATGAAGAAATTCTTCCTTGTTGTGCTGCATCTTTAGGAGTTGAGTCATCAAACCGTAGCAAAAATTAGTAGGCTGAATTCCTGAAACGCTTAACCAGATGGAGGCATTCTGGTTAGTTTTATTAACTGTATAATGTTCTGTTTTGTGTTTCTGTCAATTTTAGAATAAAGGAGTCTGAATAAAGATTTGAGGAAAGAACATAAACATAAAAGCCAAACTAGTTACTTAATATTTGAGTATCCGCCCACAATGAGCTTCCAGGGAAGATTCCATTCCAAAACAAGTTACCACTTCCTCCACTTTCATTTTTTCTCCCCTTTATTTTATCTACTGTTATTGTATTTTTTTAAACAGTGAAACTGCCTAGGTAAAGGTGGTTTTAATTAATATGAAAGAATGGAAGGAATTTTTGCTAGACCTATACGTAAGGCAAAACTTTTTTAAAGGTTTTTTGCTGAAGTTTTAATGAGAATGAAAGTTGCCAGATACGAATTTTTTTTTAGACCAACAAAATAAGACTGAAGTGAAAGAAAATGGAATAGAAACCAGAAACAATTCTATACTGTAATTATTGTAAGAACCAAGACTTACGGGGAAGTTTTCTTTCAGAGAGAAAAATGAGTGCCTATGGCAGCCACTCAGCCTTTCAAATAAAAAGAGGGAAAAAACAAAAGCCCCAAATCCTCAGTCAGATTTTTGAAATGATTTGCATTTCTCTAAGAGCTCTCTTGTATGATAAAAGGCCTAAAGGTACCTCTTTCTACACCTTTTGTGGAATAATTTTTGCAGAACCAAAAACAAAACAAAAAAAAGGTAAGAATCCCATTCCTTTTATTTCCATTTTGCTAAACCTTTGGGGCGGGGGCATACAGATCATCATTTGGCCATTATTAGTATGAAGCAAAGAGATAAAACCTTAAAATGGTGGGAAGCCTATAACTTAAAAAGGAGCAAGAAAACAAACTAAGGCCAGAGAAAGAGATTAGGAAGCTTTTCTGGAGGAACCTTTGAACTTCTGGCAATAAAATGAATGCCTGTCATTTATTTTAAAGGAATAGGTAACACAAACTAAAGCTAGGAATCAAGAAAATCCGGTCAGATTAGATAAGAGGTTTACCAATCCTGAACAGCTTTTGGCTGAGAAGAAAGCACCACTCATTTGTAAACTGAGTTAATAACACAGTACCTGATTCCCTTAATCACCTTGCATCTACTTTTTAGTTAGACTTTGGCATTCTTTAATCTGAAGCTTGACTCAGATTTTTTAGCATGTTTTTAATTTATCTAAAAGTGAATTTTCACAGGTGTTTGCTTTGAAAAGTGTTATACTCATCATTAATTAATATTAATAATGCAAAGACTGCAATGTGTTATATAAATAGAATATCAATTATAATTAAATCATATCAATTTGATGATTTACAAATCCCTTTTATATCATTGAATTTAACCTTAGGATGCTAATACAATTTTCAATAAACATTTTGTAAAACATTATATTGGGAAAAGATTCTTTCTAATTTAAAAAGAGGATTCAGTGCCATATTCCAAATACTGTTACAGCATTACCCATTGCTAAATCACTACATAGAAAGAAGGAATAGTTCAACAGCCAAATAGCATCAACAGATTTATAGTTTTTGGAAACTAATTTCAGGAATGCCACTAAAGACTGTATCAAAGCTCAAGTATTATTGTCAAGACAAATTTGAACTTTGAGAAGAGTGTGTTCCAAGATTGGTAGATAATCTAATAATCTAGTAATCTAGCTCAATAAGGGCAACCTTAAAGATACAGCTTGCTTGCTTGCTTGCTTGCCCTGCTAGAGATGGAACTCGGAGCTTCGTGCTTTCTAGGCAAGGGCTCCACCACTGAACTCTCCAATCCAAAGGTATAGATTCTTATTCTCTCCTGTCAATACATATACCTACTTAGAGAATTTGTTGTATGTATTTTTAAAGAGGTATAATTGAAACTATTCAAATCATTTAGGTTAGGTTAAAGAATGGTCACTTTATGATTTTAATTTTTGAAAAAACTAGAAATTCTGGATAATTTAATTTTTTTACTAAAATGTATTCTATTGTAAATCCTCTTTTCTGCAAATCCTTTTCTATCCAGTTGTGATAAAATAAATTTAATATAAAATTTATGATCTTAATTTTTAAGTGTGCAGGTTCATGGTGTTAAATCCAGTCATAATTATTGTGCATACATCACCGCCAACCATCACTAGAACTCCTTTCATTCTGTAAAACTGAAACTCTGTATTCACACACTCCCTTCTCACCTTCCTCCAGCCTGTAGCAATCACCATTCTATTTTCTGTCTCTAAGATTTTTGACTATTCTAAGTACCTCAATTCTATTGATCTATTCAAAGAATTAATTTTTGGTTCCATTAAATCCACTATATTTCCATTCTCTATGTTGTTGATCTGTACTCTAATCTTTATTATTTGCTGTTTTCTGCTAGCATTGCAAATTTAGTTTTCTTCTAGTTTCTTAAATTGTATTGGTATTTAAATTGTGTTAATTTGAGATCTCTTTTGGTTTTTATGTAAGTATATATGTTTCCCTCTAAAATATTTATTCTACTGCATTTCCTATTTTGATGAAGGATTTTCATTTTCATTTGTCTTTATGTTTTTCTAATTTTCTAGGTGACTTCTTCTTTGATCCATTGGTTTAAGAGTTTGTTACATTTCCAAATATTTGTGAATTTTTCCATTTCTTTTCTGTTAATTTCTAACTTCATCTTGTTGTGATTAGAGAAAATATTTTGTACTTTTACCTCATATTAACTTTTTAAGTCTTTTGAGACAATTGGTGGCCTAACATATCTTCTAACCTAGAAAATACCCTACATGCACTTGAAAAGAGTATGTATTTTGGTCATATTAGATAAAGTCTTAAGTACGTGACTGTTAGACCAATTTGTTACATTAAATTCTCCTTTGTCTTATTCTACCTAGCTATACTATCCACTATTGAGAGTTCTGTATTGAGTTCTGTATTGAAGTATCTAACTATTGTTATAGAGCTATTTCTCTCCTCAATTCTGACAGTTTTTGCTGTCTAGCTGGGCTGATCATTCTTAGGTAACAATGTTTATTGTCAGATCTTACATTGAACTTTTACTATATATCTTTTATCTTTTAAAACTTTTTGATGCATGGACCCGGGATTTAGCTCAGTGGTTCTGCCATCTGCCTCACAAGCACAAGGTGCCAAGTTCGATGCCCAGTACCAAAAAATAAAAAAAATAAAATAAAACTTTTTGATACAAAATCTATCTCATCTGATATTAGTATAAGCCTCCTCTGCTCTCTTTTGATTATTATTAGAGCATAGAATATCTTTTTGCATCCTTTCACTTTCAGTCTGTAGTCATTTATTGCTTACTGATAAGGATAAAATTCTGAAATACGTGTAGTTTGGTGATTTTGTCATTATGTGAACATCATAGAATGTACTTACACAGATCAAGATGCTCCAGTATCACTAGGTGATATCATCTTATGGGACTACTGCCGTACATGCAGTCTATCAGTGACCAAAATAATGTTATCCAGTATATGACTATATTTATGTCTTCAGATCACAAATGAATCTCTAGTAGATTACATATATTTGGATTTTGTTTTTATTTTTAATATATTCTGCCAATCTGTCTTTCGATTAAGAATTTAATTCATTTACATTTAATGTATTCCTTGTGTGGAAGGACTACTGTCGTTTTGTTATTTTGTTCTCTATATTCCTTACAGATTTTGTCTTTCACTTCCTATAATATATCTTTTGTATTTTTGTGATTGTTTGCAGCAAAACATTTACATTCCTTCTCATTTCTTTGCATATATTCTATAGCTAATTTCTTTGTGGTTACAATGGGGATTACATTTAACATCCTAAAATTATGACATGTTTATGTAAATTTATGCCAGTTTAACTTTAATTACATATAAAATCCTGTTCCTTTAAAACTTAGTCCCTTTTTTTTTTGGTTGATGGTGTCACAGAATAACATTTTTATACTTGGTGTGCCCAAAAATATCCATAAAAATTATTAAAAGGATAAAGTTGGAAAGTTACTTTGATATTGCATAATAATTCTATCATAATTCCAAAAATACTGAAGTTCACTATTACGAATTCCCACTTGAAAACTAATCTATAGATTCTATCTACAACTGTTTAGGCCATAAAAATGCATAGTATTTGGAATTAGCAGATGAGACCTCACATACAGATTTGATT